ACAGTGTCCCCGTCACTATACTGGGGCATTAGGACCCACACAGACAGCAGGGTGAGCGCCCCCTGCTGGCCCCACTAACACCTCTTCCAGCAGCAACCTGAGCTTTCCCAGGAGTCTCCCATCCAGGTACTGACCAGGCTCACGCTGCTGAGCTCCAGTGGGGCTGCCAGCTGGGAGCTGCAGGGTGATGGGGCTGCTGGCACATGAACCATAACCTTATCTTCCCATAACCTGGAAGCGTCTCAACCCAGATAGCAGTGGCAATAACCTCTCTCGGTCGTTTCCGGTTGGCCAGGGATGCTCATCAACCGTCTTCTTACTTCCTGGTGCCCCCCGACCCTGAAAACGACTGAGGCTGTTGTCAGTGTTATCCTGCTATGCTCACTGCTTCATAAAACCTTGAGGGTCTGTGGAGACGTTCTGTAGGAAAGGCAACCTTCACTGCCTCAGGAACTGCTTTTAGAGGGAGCTGAAGTCACCAGGTGCAGTCACATTTCCTGTGAGAATACGAAGAATGTGGCTCTCCTGAATTAAAAGACTCTGCCCCTTGCTACACTATCCTAACCCTGCTCCTTCAGGCCCTAAAATCCCTCTTTCCGGAAAAGTAACTCATAGCCTTCCTATTTGGTTTTGAAAGCAGAGAATCTATACATCACATATACATCGCTATAATTCAGCTAAGAAAGGGCTTGTGGAACCAAACTCTTACGTAACTCGGGGAGTAGGTGTATATGGAAAATAAACAGGCGGGAATTAAGCAGTCAAAGGTTTAAATATCATTCCATTACATTTTGGGGTCTTTGAAATGTAAGTAAATCAACAAATCCCACACCTGACTCTGCATCCTGAAAATAAATCCATCCTTCGATTGCAGGTCAAGGTTTCTGTAATGAGAGGGGTTTCTAGGTGTTGATTTTGGAAAAAATATAGAAGACAATTCCACTCCTTCAGGCTCTAAGATCCCTCTTTCTGACAGAGCAACTCATAGCCTTTCTGTTTGATTTTTGAAAGCTGAGAATCTACAGTATATATCATATATGCATCGCTATAATATACACAGTGCATTTCTGCTGAGGACTTTGGAATCAGTGGATAGCTGGTACAGTTAGAGAAGAGCATATGAGGGTACGTTTGGTGTAGTGCGGTTCATTACTCATTCACATTTCTGGTGTGGGGTTGCATAGCACACTGGGGGCATCTCTGGTCTAATCACTGGTGGGTTGTGGGTTCAGGTCCCCCTTGCAGATGCTGTTGTTGTGCCTTGAGTGAGGTACTGTACCCCGGTTGCTCCAGTCCACCCAGCTGTATAAGGGGGGGGGTGATCCCTGTGATGGGGCAGCGTCCCATTTGGGTGAGGAGGATCACTGGGAGAAGCCTAGTCTGCTACCGAAACCAGCATGACCTATTGTCCTGGCCAAAGACCCTGCCCTGAAGGATCCTGGGTCCTGCCCCACCGCTTCCTGCCTGTTCTCCCAGTGACCATGGCTCTGTGCTTGTTCGCAAGGCCTGGGCCTGGAAGGAGAACGTGCTGGAGACCGGGACGCTGGAGCGCTACACGGTGGAGCGGGCCAACACGGGCAGCGGGGTGCTCTCCACCCTGACCATCAACAACGTCATCGAGGCCGACTTCCAGACGCGCTACAACTGCACGGCCTGGAATAGCTTCGGCCCCGGGACCGCCATCATCCAGCTGGAGGAGAAAGGTACAGCCCAGCTATGGTAACCGACCGTGGGTCGGCGTTGCTGCATGTTTCATGTTATCGACTGTAGGATCGGTGGAGACTTAAAGGGGCACGGCAAGTCCCAATTTCTCAGACCGGTTATTAAATCCCCGATAACAGATTGGACAAATTACGAATGAAGCCCAAAATTGGGAACTTTGTGAAAGTACTGCAAATCGGCATGTTTTCGCAAACACCTGGTCTCGCCACGGGCGAAAGCGAGAGTTCCCATGAATTGCGACAGGATGCCCTTCCTGCTCACTAGTCACTGTAATAACTGATGTACTGTGATGTACGAGCAAATAAGTCCAGGTTGTGCAGCAGACATTTCACCGCAGAAATGTTCCAATGTGATCTGCGGGCAGAGTTGACAAGTAAGTAGTATTTGTTGGCAAAACCGTCTCAAAGTCGAGAGCGATATTTCTGCTGGATTAAAAGAGATGGATTCACAAGCCTGCTTGTTTACAGTGTAAGAGGGCTGCTTCACCTCACCAGACGTTTTGTTGTTTCATTCTGAATCGCAGAACATGACACTGCACACACCTGGAACCTTCCTCTATTTTGTGATGTAAATTGGAGGTTTTTCAAGTTGCTGTGCACATTTTACTCTAATTGTGGTTTGAAACGCGCTCATCGCTGCCCGTTCTTTCTAGCCCCGAAAGGATCTTTCTCTAAAAGAGTGTTGCAGCAGTTCCACTTTAACAGCCAATGTGGACCAAATCCAAAACGTGACAACTTCAGTTTCAAACTGACATGAGTTCGCAAAGGCCCCCAGCACCAGATCAGCAGATCAGGAGATCACATGGGCTACAGTTCCAGCAGAGGAGTCTTGAAGCAGTTCCTGAATTGATCTAGGAGTCTGTAAGCCTGAAGGACCCTGACCTTTGGAATGGGATTTCCCCTTTTCCCTGTTCTCCAAAGTAAACACCAAGCTCACCCCAGTTCATCTGAGCCTGTACTGGTAGCGGCTTACAGCTCAGCTCTGTGAAGGTCTGCTGCACACTGTTATTTTGCACTGAATGACCGTGAATATTTTGCTGGCCCCTGGAGGCAGGAGGTAGGACTACAGCCTGGGTTCCTGTGGACTGATGACTATCCAGACATGACAGGAGCTGTGATTAAGTCCTTCCAATGTGCTTGTTGATCTGCGTTTCTGCCTTTGTGCTCCTGTGAGACGTATTCTGTCTGCAAACTACTGTATAAAGCATTAGAGGCTTTGAATAGAGTCGGGATGTGTAAGGGTAAGCGAGAGCTGTTTGCTCATGAAGGAGTCAATTCTGTTGCCGCGTCCTCTGAAAGCAGTAAGACATTTGTTTCCTCTGGTTTGCAGTTTGCATGTCTGAGTGCTGCAGTGTCATCTAGAGCAGTGGTTCTCAACCGGGGGTACGCGTACCCCTGGGGGTACCTTGGGCATCGCATACAAAATGGCGGATTTCCATGTGCTTAGTTTTAGTTAAAATATTTATCAGCTAATTCTGAAATCATTTAGATTCTAAATTCTATATGCAGATTTAGGATATTCCTATTGTTATGAGGAGAATGGGGGGCAGCGCGATTGCCGAGCGTGTCCAGAAACGCTTTGTGATTTTGTGCTGGAGCGACGTGGCGGTTTTTTTTGCCGTTAACAATTATTTTTTTTATTTCACATCGCAGCAGGTCTCTCATTAGATTCACTGAGTAAGTCTGTTTTTTTATTTTTTGAATCTTGATAATACTTAACATTTTTGTTTTAGTTTAAAATTGTAAGAGTGGCAATTAGTTTTTTTGATACAGCACGTCCATAGATGCAAACCCCCCCCCCCCCGAAAACACCCCTTTCTTAGTGTTTTATGCCTACGGTAAGCTTAGCGGGGTACCTGGCTGACCCTCCAGGGGGGATCTCGGCCAAACAGGCTGAGAACCACTGATCTAGAAAATAAGCATAGAAGTACAGCACTGATGTTGAGGTCTCCCGATCTATGTAATTTGACTCGGGCCAGGTAGCGATGTTGGCTCCAGTTTGTGGGCGCGAGATTCCTATGCGGTGACTTACTTGTGGTCTTCCCCCTCTTGCGCAGAGATCGTCCCCATGGGCATCATCGCTGGCAGCACGGTGGGCTCCTCGATCCTGCTCCTGGCCTTCCTGATCGCTCTGGCCCTCTTCCTCTACCGGCAGCGCAAAGGGAGTGAGTACAGCCGAACGCGGGGCGGGGCGGGTGGCACGCGGGAGGAGGTCATTTGGGCCAAGCGGCCTGTTTGGTCGTTAGCAGTTCACAATTGATCCTGGGATCTCTTCCAGCCATTTCTTGAAAGGATCAGGGTCATCAGCGTTCCACGTCCCTCCAACCCAAAACCGTGTTTTCAGTCAACATCTTCATCCCAGCTCTCTTTCACTCATTATTAATAATAATAATAATAATAATAATAATAATAATAATAATAGCCAGCAGCCATATCACCCTGCAGCCTCTCAACTAGCGACCCACTGGAGCTCAGCAGGTGTGAGCCTGGTCAGTACCTGGATAGGAGACCTCCTGGGAAATCTAAGGTTGCTGCTGGAAGAGGTGTTAGTGGGACCAGTAGGGAGTGCTCACCCTGCAGTCTGTGTGGGCCCAGTGATGGGGACACTAAACTGTAGTGGGCGCCATCTTTCGGATGAGACGTTAAACCGAGGTCCTGACTCTCAGTGGTCATTAAAGATCCCCGGGCATTTCTCGAGAAGAGTAGGGAGTTGTCCCGTGTCTGGGCCAAATTTCCCCCCTTTACTTTGGCCTCCAAATTGTCCCCATGTATTATTGGCTT